GTCTCTCTAAGCGAGATCCCAATTCGTCGGTCATCCGACGTGACGTTGAGAGTGACCGACTGAAAGGGAACTATGTCCGGTTTTCTTGTTGTGATTATAACGTTATTTAAATGTTACAAAAATTATACTTACAACATTCTATTAACATTATTTTTACCCAAAATGTAACGTTATTTGAACGTTAATTTTAGTATTCCAAGAGCATTAAAATGTCTAGTTTTCTTGTCTTGATTGTAATGTTATTTAAAGGTTACAGAAACATTTCTTAGAATGTTCTACTAACATTATTTTTACCCAAATGTAACGTTATTTGAACGTTTATTTTTAATTTTCTAAGAACATTAACATGCCAAATTTTCTTGTCATGATTAGAACGTTATTTAAAGGTTACAAAAACTTTTCTTACAACATTCTACTGATGTTATTTTCACCCAAAATATTGTCGTTTAAATGTTTATTATTAGTTGTCTACGAATGTAACAATGTCCAGTTTTCTTGTTGTGATTGTAACGTTATTTAAAGGTTCTTACAACATTCTACTAACAACATTTTTACACAAAATATGTTATTTGAACGTTTATTTTTAATTTGATAAAAATACTAAAATGTCCAGCTTTCTTGTCATGATTGTAACATTATCTAAAGGTTACAAAAATTATTGTTACAACATTGTACGAACATTATTTTTACCCAAAATGTAACGTTATTTGAATGTTTATTTTTAGTATTCTAAGAACATTAAAATGTCTAGTTTTCTTGTCTTGATTGTAATGTTATTTAAAGGTTACAGAAACATTTCTTAGAACATTCTACTAACATTATTTTTACACAAATGTAACGTTATTTGAACGTTTATTTTTAATTTTCTAAGAACGTTTTCTTGTTGTGATTGTAATGTTATTTAAAAGTTACAAAAATATTTATTCGAATGTTTAAGTACAAATAACAGAAGGGCATTTTGAGAATGCTGTTCTAAGAACATTTTCTCTCAACATTATAAGAACGTTCATCAAGTACAAATAAGATCGTAACGACGTTCCAAGAACGTTTTTTTCTCAACGTTATGAGAATGAATATCAAGCATAATAAAGTTGGTTAAAGTTGAGAGAACGCTCCCTGTTAGCTGGGACGAGGGTGAGTAAATGATGACAGAATGATCCTTTCTGGGTGAATTATTTCTTTAAAGTGGTCATGAAATGGAGATTCAAAATGTTCTTGATATTGACACATAGGAGAGGTTGTTATAGTAAAAACTAAAGATGTCACAATTCTCAATATAATATCGAACCATTCGGTACGACATCCACGGTTCAATATGTGCTTGTGAATCGCGGTTGTTCGCTGTAAAAAAAGCTATGTCGATTAGCAATGGATTACAAATATACTTAATCATTATGAAAACACCCGAGATGTCTTGAACTCAGAAAAACTATATATTGTCTCAGGCGAGTATTTATTGTCTTCATGTTTCATCATTCAAAACGTTTCTATCTTTTTATTCAGTCACAGCGATAGCGATGCCTTTGTCCATATCAGGGATTTCCTGGAACGTCATCAGTTCTATTACTTCGGTGATGCATATGTGGATTTTCTGCGTGAGTGCGCTCTCTGACTACCAGTATGAAATGAACCAGACATTATATGTGTTTATAGAGCTCAATAATGGCCAATCCATCCTATTTTGGGTAAAAATAAGAAAAATAATACCTCTCTCAAAAGAAATTTGAAGTAGACATATAATAATCCACGTCTTTCTCCATTGTACAGATGTTTACCGGAAGTTTTTGTTGTTAATTTGTTTTAAAAATCACATTTTAAATTGCAAAAAACATTCCATTAGAACCGAACCGAACCAAACCGAAAACTGTGGTTAAAAAAATGAGGTATGTATTGAACCGTGGGCTAACTGTATTGTTGCATCCCTAGTAAAAACACAGTAAAGGTTTTCAAACGAGTTCCGCATGTAATGCTCATTTCATATGCAAAGATGGCAGCCAATCATAGCAGTGGGTGTTTACATTGAAGACACGCCCCTTCCAATCTAAATTATGATGAAAAAACCATACTATGATTACAACTGCACCCCAGGAAACATTATAAAACAATTAAAAATTGAATTTCATGACAAGCACTACTAGTTGACCTTTGCCCTCGGGTGACTCGTATTCTCCTGGTGACCAGCAGACGGGCGACATGTCGCCCTGAGCGCAGTCTAAATGGTACGAGTTCACGGATCCGTTGCGCTGTTGTGCGTGAATCGGGCCGTCCATCACACGAGCATCAGTCTGACCTGAAAGATAAACAAACGTCAGTGTTGTCATCTTAAAACATTTACTCTTATCTAAAGATGATAAATATACTGCAATTGCACACTTTTAGTTGTTACTTCTAACTGTTGTTCAGCTAATATCATGTATATTTAAATGTAAAAAATGTTTAAATGTCTTTTTTAAATATTAAATTTACATTTTTTAATGATATTTTGAGATATATTACGCCATAAAGACATGCTTTTATTTAGTCCAGTGTCAATTCATGTTTCATTGCATCTTTACATCAAGTCGGTGTTTAAAGTAATATGTTTGCATGCTTATATTAACATATTTATTTAAAAAGTTAAAATAACAAAAATATGTACATGGAATAAAAAATACAATAAAAATATATAAAGTAAGCAAAGATTAAAGTGCAAAAACAAAGTTCATATATATA